TTGGATGCTAACTAGGTAGCTGCTTTAGAAACATGGATCAAATTCTTGAAGCAATAACCTTATTTTCACGATATAAATGTAAAAGAGTAGACTGACCATCTGGCCTGCTTTGTTTTATTTACATTTCTTCCCAACAGGGTCATTCAATGCCTGGCTTATCCTCAGCAAAGGCTATGCATTATCCTTCTCAGTCTATGCTGGAAGTAGACAATTCAATAATCGTGGCTTTGTTGCCGGCTTTCCGGCAAATGAACCTGCTGAAGGAGCAACTTTTGATCCCTTAATTGGAAGGAAAGTGTGGACAAGATGGCCTGAAGATAACAACTTCTATGAGGCAGCAATCACTGATTATAATCCATCCGAGGTATGTTCAAGGAATACCGGGACATTTTCTGCCTTACTCTCTCACTTATCTTAGGTGGAGTCTTTTTGGTGATGAGGGAACTTTGCAAGTGAGGTACTGGCAAAAAGGTTGCATAATGTTCAACTTTAACTAAGCATTAGGTTTCATGCATATACTTCAATGTTACATATGTCTAAAAAAGTTCCCTCATCACCAAAAAGACTCCACCTAAGATAAGTGAGAGAGTAAGGCAGAAAATGTCCCGGTATTCCAACATGTGGTATTCTTACAATTAAATCATGAAAATTTGCATCAAGAATTTCATATCCAAGATGGACGGTGCTATCCAAGAATAAAAGAAAATAACTCAAAAAGTGGCTTTAGTGATTAAATGGAGTATTGTTCTTCCTAGAGGTCTTGGGCTCGAACATTTGACTAGTTGAATTGCAGCAATTGAGATTGCGAGAGAAAAAGGGATGGATGTAGGGATCAACGTTCCATCGAGTTGAGTTGAGTCAAGTTAAAAAATTTTGAATTATTTGAGTTGATGAGTCTTATTTTATAACTTGAAGTTGAATTGAAATTTAAGTTAAGTCGAGTTAAATTTTTGAGTTTCTGTTTAAATTTAATTGTAAATGTTTATAATATTATGATATTATTTTATTTCAATTTAAATATTTTTTTAAGTTATATATATATATATATATATGAATGATTGGCAGAAACAACACTCGAGAGAGATGAAGGGACGCACCTTCTGAAAAAGCCCCCTAACAAACTTAGTTCTCTTCTGCAAGCCGATAGCAACGAAATAGAGTTTCTAAGATGGTAGACTACAAAATGTAGTCGTTTTAAATGTACAAAAGAAATATAATACATATTTTTTTCATATGTTATATATCATATAGAGTCGAGAGACTCAACTCAAATTTGAAAATCAATTCATTAATTACTAAAAATTTTGAGTTATTCAAATTATTATTCGAGTTATTTGAGTTGTATTTTACAGCTCCATTTGAACTCAAATTTGTTTCCAAGTTAGATTTATAAAATTACAACTCGAAGTCAATTTGAATTGAGTTGGATCGAAAAAATTAATTTTTCGAATCAGAGTCAAGTTTTGTCCACCTCTAGATAAATGAATATTTTTATGATAAGTTGTATTTGTATTTTCCAAGAAAGCAAGAACTGCTACAAAAACAAATAAGAAAAGATCCAAACATCAGATCTAATCCAACCCCCATGCTATACAAAGCTTATAATTTCCAACATCATTTCTATCTATAACCTTATGCATTAATCGTATACATATTATATACTTAACACGGGAAAGAAGCTCCTCAGCAGTACCACCTTTTCCTCGGAAACATCTAGAATTTCTTTCCAACCAAACACTATATACAAAAGTCTCTCAAGACAGCTTAAGAATAATTACCAAGATAGACTTACCTCTCAAACACCAAACTGCCCAGACCAACTCATCAAGCTAATCCAGGACTGGTATAGAAACACTACACGTCCCCAGAATACTAGCCCAAACAACATTTGCCAAAGCCAATCCCATCATTTGCAGACGATCCAGAGTAGGAAGTATATCTAGGATAATCATCCAACTAATAACAACATGCTTCAAGATGTACAAGGGAAACCAAAGTAGCTTTTGGCAAACCACTATATCCTTCTTGTCCCAAACAACATTCCAAATCCACCTTGAAGTAACAGTAGACCAGTCACAGGTAGGCAAAAAGATCACCGCAACTTCCACCCTCAACTTCAAAAGCTTTCTCATGATCCAACTAAACTCATTCTTACACAAAACCAACCAAAAGTCATACCCTTTCAACATTTGCTCATGCACCCAGGTAATCCACACAGAACCCTGATTAACCAAAATGTTTTTTATGAGGGTCAAGAGGAAAGCCCTCGATCAACATTTTAGGTTCTTTAAGTCCAAGCACCCCCTAGATTTAAGGGAGTAAATGTGCTTCTAACCAACCCTAGCACCCTTCGTAGAGCTATCAGAACCCCTCCAAAAGAAACGAGAGTAGAGTTGCTCAATCCTCCTAATCACTACCTTAGGGAGAGGATTTGCCTGCACCAGAAGGAAGTAATATTATATAGCACCGACTATATCAACCGGTATAACACCCACAGGCCGATACGGGTGACTCGATCCGATATGAGGTGTCACATTAGGGCCACCGGAGCGACCCACAGTAAAATCCCAGAAAATTTAAATTTTTTGTTAAAACGTGTAAAATCATAAAAAAAATTATATTTAAAATACAAGTTCAGAAAACCATTTATATACTACAAACAGAATTAAAATCATACATGTTTCAGACTCGTATATAAAAACATAATACCACCTACATGCTCCATAAACACATGCACCGTACTCCGCAAGTATAGTTGGTGGAAGTCCAATACTGATGTCGATAGCTAAACTGGATCAATTTAACCTGAAATAGTGATTAACAGAGTGAGCTTTGGGAAGCTCAGTAATACAGAACTACCAAGTGATGCTGAAGGATATGCAGATAATTGGCAAGCATAATTTTCCTTATTGATTCAAATGTCTACAAATTTTTGTGATGAGTTGAGGGTTCCACTGATATTTCAGGTAGAAAAAGACATGAAGCTTACATTTTAGAGGAACCGTTAAGAGGACTCAGGAGATCAGAATAGGGTGTCTAGTGTGTTCCCATAAAACCAGTGAAAAATAAAGATCTTTCTAAAACAGTAACAGTTTAAAAAATATTTTTAAAGTCGTAATAAAACCCTCCAATCGAACATCAATATGCAGTTTCCCATAACTGCATCCATAAGGAGTTACCCTAAGCCTATTTGACATATGTGCCAATCTAAGGGAACACCTTGGGTCCATAAGGTATTACCCTAGCCGAAGCATAACCCTTAAATCCATAATGATTTACCCAAAGAACATAGCAAAGGTGCCACCCTAAGGGAGTTTTTTAGGGTCTATAAGGTCTTACCACTAGGCCTCTTGGCCTAGGTGCCCACCCAAAGGTCACCTTAGATCCTTAAGGAATTACCAGCTCAATCGGTCTAAACCTATATAAAGAATTACCAATTTTACCATAAAGAATTATCAGTTCGATCGGTCTGAACCTATATAAGGAATTATCAGTTTAATCGAACTAAACCTATAGAGACTTCATACCAGATCCCATATTACCTCAAAGAAAAACATTTTCCATAAAGAAATCAATGGTAGTAAGAAATCAAAGTTCATACATATTAATTCAATAAAAATGGTATCTAGAGATCATGAATTTGAGAAACATACTTAAAACTTCAGTAACTCAGAAATCTCGGTAAAACACATTTCAGAACGGATAAAACCAATCATATAACATATAGGAACACACTAGATGGTCCAGTTATTTTTCGAAGGTGTTTGGTATTTATCAGATAAGAAGTCATGAAACTTCTGTAAATTGATTAAATTCATAAATGATATCCCCTTAAAAGGGTTTGATAGAGGACAAATTCATCAGTTATTTATAATGTGATTTATCAGGATCAAATAGTATTTGGATATTTTTTCGGAGACACTATGTAATCAGAAAGGTATTCAGAATCCTTTGCATCAGGGTTACTTGTGTTTTCAGATATGACATGAATGATTCAATTATTCAGGAAATCAGAGGCATTTTGAGCATTAGTCTCTTGGAGAATTCTTAGTGATCTGATCTAATAAGGGAGAAACGAAGATTCAGAGCATTAAAGATTTGTGTCGATCTATCGGAATATTAAGTTAATTCGAACTGAACAGATCCCAACACTGATACCTGTCAACCGGTCAAATTGTTGCACTTCAAGGGTATTCACTCTTTAATACATATAACTCTTGTCGAATTGATCATCTTCAGAATCATCGTTGAATGGATCTTAGGGAGACGAATAAATATTCAGACATTCTATGATTTAGGATTATCTTAGGTCATTTACTCTTCAGGGGAATTTTGGTCATTTTACAGTTCAAGGGTATTCAATTATTTTTATTTGATTCAAACATATGCATCATTCTAGTAATTAATTTATCAGGTGGTTTTGTCCAAACACCACAAATTCTAAATCTTTAACCATCTTGGAGGTTAGAATTTGGTTATCCAAATTTTCTAAGCAAAACTAGCATTTTCTATATACATCAGTAGTTTCATCGGATCAATATGTCTTTTCGGAGTTCTTATTCAACTTCTAGGGAAATTCTCATCTTTTTACAACATATGGGTATTTTTGTAATTTTACCTAACTGAAGTATTGTCATAATTTCTCATCCAAGTACATTTGGCATTTAACCTTTAATGAGATAAATCAGAATTTACAGATCCAGAGATTGATTGCTTTACCACTTAATCATAGAACTTGTAATTTAATTCCTATTGGTCCCCCAATTTCTTATACGACTCATCTGAGTCATATTCAACTACTAACGTTTTACCGTATTTGGATCGAGTTTAGAAATAATTTACTATATAGATGAGACCAAACATATTCATCCATGTATTTACCAATTCCATCATGTTCCCTAAAGCATGTATAAGGTAGCCATATATTACCTCGATTTTCGTACTCCTTGACCGATCGAACATTTAAACTCCATTCAATCACTCTCAAACTTGAATTCAACGTCTAATAATTCCTCGAATACATAACAAACGAATTTATGTCAGAAACTGAACTTAATTGGGAAACCAAATTGAATCCAAAGGTAAAACACTAAAAAATTACTTACCGAGTGTGAATTTGGCAAAACGGACTTCAGATTCGAACTCACGAGGTCGAAAAACATAAAATATGACTTTTTGGAAAATTTGACTTTTTGGGTCAAAGTCAACGGTTAGACCGGTCAAAGTTAACGGTTAGGCCAGTCAACGATCAACGGGTCAGGTTAAATTCAACGGGTTGAAGTTAACCGATTAATACCTAATTCAATCATCATGATGTGATCCTGTCTAGCTCCAATTTTCTCCATAACTTGATCACACCATGGATGTTATTCAAATCTGGTTCTAAGGGAGTTCTACCTTACTTTATCTTATATTTACTTATTTATGCTCTATATATTATTATGAGCATACATTTGCAGATTAGACTATACTTGAATTATCATAACATGTGCATTCATTCATTATATGGTTTGTATCATTGATTGATATTCAAGCATATAATCTATAGTTGTAATAATATTCATTCATTATCATATGATGCATGAGTTATTATTATAACCTATAGGTCACATCTTTATATTATAAGTTATTTACTTCAAATACTTAGCTTATATTATGCTTTCTGTTTGTAGGTGTATGTTCGGTCACATAAAGGTAACTGACTTAAAGCTAGAATCATAGTCCAGGAGCTAAGGAAACATGAATAGAACAACTCTGGGACAACTCAAGAACATTTTGGGACAAAGTTGCTAGCTGACCCCCGAGATCATAGCTGACTTGAGCTGGACTTTTGAGCTAGCTAGAGGTTTCATTTCAGCTGGAGATTTGCACCATCATCACCACCACACAGAGTACTTCAAATATGGTCTATGTAAATTTTTGTGGATTCGTACCTTTTCGCGAATAGTTGTCATTCCAAGAGGTGCCTTTTCACAAGGAGCTGTCCTATGACTCATCTTCATGTAATTCATCTATGGCCAGCTCATCTTCAGCTCAAACACATGGAAAGTAGTTTAAATGATGAAAGGTTACCTTCCACAAATGTAACCTTTCATAATTAGTTGCTGCCCAATTGATGACATGTCATTTAGACACATGTTTGATGCCAAGTCACGCCTAACTTGCTTCTCATCTTCACGCCATAGAGGAGTCCACACCTTAAGCATTCTACACCACCTATGTGAGTGCCTCATGACCAGCCCACACATGTGCCATACGTGTTGATGAAATGGGCGCCAAAGTGAAGAGGTTTATCCCTATTCAGCCAAAGCAAGGCATTGCTTCAAAGTTGGCGCCAAGATGAACCATAAGAAGACCATCCAGCCAAGGACATTTCCTTTCATTCAAGCATCATGCATTTTCAATTTAAATTATGTACTTTACCAAAAAGGCATGCATCTATTCGGCCAAGCCTATACAAATCTATAAATAGGCTTTGGCATTTATTTGTAAAACTCAACCCTTTGATAAATGAAAACTCTTGTGAGATTATTCTCTCTTCAAGTTCTTTTTAGAACTATATCGATTAAGCAAGCTTTTCTAAAGTTTATGTCATCAATCTCTTCCTTGATACTTCTGGTTTCTAGTTCATATAACTAGTGGGTCAAAGTCCTTCCTAACATCCCTTATAAAACTTATAGGAAATGGGTCTTTGTTCTTTATAACATTGGTTCCCTCTTAGTTTTATAAGATACTATTTCCTTCACCATTATCCATCACTTTCACGCCAACTCTATCACCATCCCATTACCATATTCATCACCATTCCTTAACCATTGAATTATTCATCAACATTCATCAATAATCATGTGCATCATCACCAATGGTGGTCGAATTCATCAACATTTGAAGGACAATTCAACAACACTTCCGCAGCCCATCTTTGATAACATTTCTATCCATTTCAATTCTTATCATTTCCTTTATTCTTCCGTTTCTTATTTATATTTCTATATTAATCATTTCTTTCTTTAATTTTTGCTGATACAAATCTATAAATAGGCTTTGGCATTTATTTGTAAAACTCAACCCTTTGATAAATGAAAACTCTTGTGAGATTATTCTCTCTTCAAGTTCTTTTTAGAACTATATCGATTAAGCAAGCTTTTCTAAAGTTTATGTCATCAATCTCTTCCTTGATACTTCTGGTTTCTAGTTCATATAACTAGTGGGTCAAAGTCCTTCCTAACATCCCTTATAAAACTTATAGGAAATGGGTCTTTGTTCTTTATAACATTGGTTCCCTCTTAGTTTTATAAGATACTATTTCCTTCACCATTATCCATCACTTTCACGCCAACTCTATCACCATCCCATTACCATATTCATCACCATTCCTTAACCATTGAATTATTCATCAACATTCATCAATAATCATGTGCATCATCACCAATGGTGGTCGAATTCATCAACATTTGAAGGACAATTCAACAACACTTCCGCAGCCCATCTTTGATAACATTTCTATCCATTTCAATTCTTATCATTTCCTTTATTCTTCCGTTTCTTATTTATATTTCTATATTAATCATTTCTTTCTTTAATTTTTGCTGATTACTTATTAATTCAAAGTGTAGCATTTTGGTGTCTCTCCTAGATCGGGAAACAACAAGGTTGCTAACTTCTCCATTTTGAAGAAGCCTGGTTAGCCTACATCACATCAAAACAAGTAAAGAACACATTGAAATTAACCGAAAAAATAATCGAAGCTTACCCAAGACGGCGGTTTGTGACATGATGATTTTCGATCGACACATCCAATCGAGTTTTGGTCGCACAGAGTTGGAGATTCTGGTTATCGGGGCGATGAGGCGAGCTAACACTCGAGGTGGCCGGAATCGACGAAAATAGGGTCAACGATGGGGTTTTTGATGAACCTTCTATCATTTAATCCCGACGATTGATGGTCGATCAGGAGTTTTTGACGGTTGGGGTTTGGTCAGGGTGAGATATCGGTTTAATTTGGACAGTCGAAATATCGCAACGGTCGGAGCGGGGTGAATCGATCGAGGGGCACGATAGCTAGGGTTGGGGTAGGGAAATTGAGGATTTCATCTATTCGATCGGGAAGTTTATTTTTCACTTTACCAGAAAAATGGGATAATTCAAGGCTTGGTCTGTAAATTTCATGCAACTTTCTAAAAGTGCCTATAAGTTTCAAAAACTAATAATTTGACCCCTAAATTAAGGTGTGATAGCTAGATCATACCCCCATAGCTAAGTAACTTCCAAGACCAACCCTTCAACTTATTAACAATCCTCAGGGATAAGGAAGTGTAATCCTTAACAGTGAGTTTCCTAGCCACCAAGCGAATCCCAAAGTAATGAACAGGGAACTCCCCAAGCTGGAAATCAGTAGCCTAAGCCATATCATTAGCACAATCACTACTCATCCCTATAGTAAAGAGTTCAAAATTGGTAACATTAAGCTATAAACCATCACTACAAGAAAATATACCTTTAATGACACACGAACGATGACACACGCTAATTTATAACTTGCAAAACATGTGTGTCATAAAATAAATGTCATGTTTTTTTAAAATCTAAACGATTTATGACTTACAATAATGTTTGTCATATTTAATAGTCATATTTAATAGTCATAATCCATAAAATTTACAAAAACACGGTGTATACTTTTTAATTGTGTGTCATCTTTAGTAGTCGTATTCTAATTTCCCCCATTATTTTCATCATTTCTCGCTTCTTCCCCCACCTAATGTTTTCCACTCTTTTCATTCTCTCCTTTTCTCTCCTGTTTTTCATCCTGATTCTCTTCATCTTGTTAGGCCCGAGTTTGAATCCCCAGCCTCTGCCTCCTATTTTCGCCTCCAATGAACTCGACGATCTCCGTCTCTTCCACCGCATCACCGTCTCTCCCTCCACCTTGTCCCACCTTTCCTCCTCTTCCCCTAAAATCGCTTTCCTTTTCTTGACCAACACCGACCTTTATTTGCTCCATTTTCGTCTTGTGTTTCCGGTTATTTCTCAGTCTCACTCTTTTTGTAAATCTGATTATTTTTTGCGTTGATTTATGTTTATAATGCATCTCTTCATTTAATGTCAGTTGAATTTTTTTTTTCTAATCATTAGACTGAAATTTGGAGATTTGATTGTTTGGGTTTCGTGTAGAGTTCTGAGATATCTAAGCTCAAGGTGTGATGGCTTCTATGACGTATTCTCCAGCTGCATTTACTAGAACTTCAGCTTTCGATCTTCTTCGAAGCTCCAGTAATGGTGTGAGCGGCATCCCTCTTGAAATCCTAGGGACGCCACGATTTGATGTGTCAAAAAGAGGTGTAACTGTAGTTACAAAGCTGAGGAAAGTGAAGCATGAATATCCGTGGCATGCAGATCCGGATCCAAATGTGAAAGGCGGAGTCCTAAGTCATCTTTCCCATTTCAATCCTTTGAAAAAAAGCAAAAGTCTGTTACTTTGGATTTAGAGAAGCCCTTTGTAAATTTTGAGAAGAAGATGATTGATGTAGTTCCTTATTTCTAGTGACTTTTGGTTTTTCTGATCATAACAAGCTCGTGGTTGCTTCAAATTTTGTGTTTGTTTCATATGAAGGTGAGGAGGATGGAAAATAAAACTGGATTGGACTTCAGTGATCAGATTATATTATTGGAGAATAAATATCAACAGGTACAATTATTTTGTTTGAGACAATCTGATAGTACTTTAGTTGTTTCCATGAAGTAATATAATTTCTAGTTATACATTTATATGTTCCTCTGAGTGGATACATATTCAGCCTATTAATGAGAGTGAAGTTGAGTATGGAATATGTTTTCGTGTGCTCAATTTAATTATGCCAAAACTAAAAATTAGGTCAGGAAGTTATATTTAATATTGGCTGATAAAATGTTTTCGATGTTGCATTTTTTATGTCATTTATTTGTTATTTAGAATTTTATTATAGTATTTGATTTTATTTTTGGATTCATTCTCTTATTGCAGAGGATTATCAATAGTAGAACATTTATATGCTTGCTTGAAATTCTGTGGTGTTAAACTCCAAAATCTATGATTCTTCTTTAAGTCTGATGTAAGCTTGATACCTTAATAAGGGATGAGTTTAATTCAGTGTTTCATAAAAGGCTTGCACACCATTTAGTGTTGATGTGATGTCAAAGATATTGATATTTCACCATGTTTATGGTTTCTGGTTAACTCTTATAATCCTTTCTATTATTTATTTTAGGCCCTGAATGACTTATACACACATCTAATCCCTATACAATGTGTGAACATTGCCTGGCACCCTAACAGACCTACATTCCTTGATCATGTATTTAGCATTACTGATAAGGTTTGGTGGTTACATGACTTTTAACTCGGAAATTAATTCTACATATTTTCATCAACATTATCTTTAACACCCAGTGTGTGGATGGTGAAGAATTGTTCTAATAAATGTTTTGTATATTCTCCTGTGTCTAGTTTGTGGAACTTCATGGAGATCGATCGAGGAATGACGATCCATCTATTGTTACTGGTATAGAAACCATAGATGTTAGGCGATACATGTTTATTGGTCAGCAAAAGGGTAGAAACACTATTATCTGCATATTCAATGTAACTTTGGAATGCCAACTCTCCATGGGTAAGTATATGAAACTTGCATGTTGAATTTTACCTTTCAAAGAGAGAATCTGTCACTCTTAATTGATATTTAGGAAATGCTTACTGTTACATGAAGGCTCTGCGCATGATGTATTATGCAGATCATCATGGTTTTCCTATAGTTACTTTTATTAACACTCCTAGGGCGTATGCTGACCTTAAATCTGAGGAGCTAGGTTAAGTATGAGGACTATTGTATTATTAAGCATACCAGATCTATTTTTAATGTTAGTACAACTGATTTTTATGTGTTACATTCATGTAGGGTGAAGTTATTGCCCACAATTTGAGGACCATGTTTAATCTGAAGGTCTCAATTATTTCTATTGTTATCGAGGAAGGTGGCTCTGGCGGTGCCTTGGCCATTGGTTGTGCTAATAAATTGTTGATGTTGGAAAATGCAGTCTTTTATGTTGCCAGGTATTGAGATGTCGTATATTGTTTTTATTGAATGTCATTTAAG